TTTTGAGTAGTCTAACCTCCAGAAGGTCCGGCTGTAGCAGCATCTGGATATTGTGACCGGTCACCTGGTAGTGTATCCCGATCGCTAACACGATTATGCTGCTCAACAGACAAACCGCTCCTACTAGAGCACCAGCCGGCGTCGAAGAAACACATTTACATAGCATCTTCACCCGAGGTCCACACTTGTTCCATACACGCCACTTCTGGTGTGGCGACTGCTTCCGTCTCTTAGCTAGCTTACTAGGCATCTCGACTAGGCCTTCGGGAGGGCCCTCTGTAGTCGGTAAATGATGATGAGCGTAGACCGGTTTGACAAGCAGACTCGGACAGCTAACGCCTGATAACTCTTGCGGATAGTGGACAACTCCGGCTGAGGTCTGACTAGAGCTGACTTGTTGGCTGCTACGCCACCAAATTATCCAAACAAAAGCTGGATTTGGTAATGAGAAGGAGGGATTGAGAAATACAAAGGGCAAAAGTGGATTAAGTTATTGCTGAATCACTTTGGTCAAAGGAAAGTTAGTGGTCGTACTGATAGGAAAATAAGGATACATCTGGAAGGAGGATACATTGTTGTTAGAGGCAGTTAAAAACAAACGAATGAAGCAAATATATTAATGGAATGACCAGTGCATTGTTAAATATGATTATTTGTGTCTGATAGGATAAAAATAAATACCGTCAATGAAAGGTGATTTCGATTTATTAACCTGTTCGTAGCGGCAGGGGGTCCTAATGGAACTTACCTAGTCCTGCGTCCTCTGCTATAGTACCCATGATGGTTTTCAGCATAAGACCTTTGACTTCGTACATTCCCAGACGTTTCGCCGGCATTGTCAGTAAGGAGCTTCTCAAAGGTATTTATCACTTCAACCGGAGGAATAAAAAGAGAGCCTAAATTGCAAATCATCCCAACAATCTTGGCGCATCAAGACTCACGAATATGAACAATATAACTAAAATATATGCAGGATTAAAAGAAATAATTAAATAGTTTTACAAGCGGACAAAAGAGATGTCACAGTAGGGATGAACAGGAGGGAATATACAGAGAACTTGGAGAATATTCTCGGGAATGTAGCAAATTATCGACTGCCAACAGTTAAAAACAAAGAGACACTGCGAGAAATGCTTAATCAAATAATATACGAACGGAGAAATCGACAAATGGACAATTAATTAATTCTCTTTCCTTGTATATAAGTTACAAGCAAGTGCCTCGATGTGGGCAAAACTCAGACGATGCTGGAGTCTAGTGTTGGTGCAAGAGGGCAGCGTTCGGTCACAAAGAATAACGACGGCGCATGGCGGGGCAATGGGACGCTATTCTCAGTCGAGCTAGTTTTCGGCATAGAATACTTTTGTGTACTTTTAGTTCCACGTTCTGATTATATCAAAGGAGAGGCTCCATGAGGTGACTAGATTGGCCTAGTCTTCGTGGGACACAGTGCCGGTTAGTCTTGCTCCGCTTGGTGTTGCATGAGTCGAGAGATGGCCGTGAAATGTAGCCAAACTGAATGTGGAGTAAAGTCACTACAAGGGCAACGACCTTTCGGTCAGCTTTGATGTACAGCCCATGTACACGAATGTTTCAAGGGAAAAAGCGTGCAGGGTGCTACTGGAGATCTTAGAAAAAGGAGACGACACTAGAGGACGGAGCGAATCCGAAGAGTCTGCAACCCGCTTAACCTACTTACTAATAAGAGCTATCTATTTGACATTAAGGAATCGCATCTATGGACAAAAAATTAGGTATTTTTCCGTTAATGAGTAGGCTTTTTAGACTGTCGGTAAATCAAATATATGAGTTGTGATGAAGGACTGGCTGTCGAATTTTTCCACAATTATATGACTAGACCTTACGTTTACATTAAATTTCATATAGCCTTGCTTGCCCAAAAAGTGTTTTCATCCTGGTTGAACCGCAATTTCCACATCGCCTAGGTCTTATCAACACTCCCAGCGGGAGTCGAACGATGACCTTGCAGCGTGTAATTTCTACACTTTAACCACTATGCCACATTGGTACCGGTGCCCTTGGGTGATAGGGCAGATCTGAATTTCAAGGAATGTCAGGCACTTTCCATATCCCTTTCTGTGTGGCGATTGTCGATGAAGTAAACTTATATTTGCTATAGCAATCGACAGCATTGCTTTTTTCGTTAGTGAGTAGGTTTTCGAGACTAACAATAAATTAGATTTATAAACTGTGTTTATCCTATTTCATCCACGCTGGATAAGAACACCTTTTGGGAGAGCAAGGCTATATGAA